TGTCTGGGCAACAAGTAAAACTCCGTCTCAAAAAAAAAATTTTCTTTATAAAACATTTAAACTTCTAAAATTACTTACTTCTCAGTATAAATAACTTTGATTATACTTAGTAGAATTCATTAGCAGTGACTTTCTTGTCATGGTTAGAAGTAGGTTTAATTTTTTTATTTTTGTTTTTTGAGACAGAGTCACTCTGTCACTCAGGCTGGAGTTCAGAGGCATGATCTCAGCTCACTGCAACCTCCATCTCCCGGGTTCAAGTGATTTTCCTGCCTCAGCCTCCTGAGTAGCTGGGATTACAGGTGCCTGCCACCACACCCATCTAACTTTTTTTTTTTTTCTGAGACAAAGTCTCGCTCTGTTGTCCAGGCTGGAGTGTAGTGGTACACTCTTGGCTTACTGCAACCTCCACCTCCTGGGTTCAAGCGATCCTTCTGCCTCAGCTTCCCAAGTAGCTGGGACTACAGGCACATGCAACCATGCCCAGCTAATTTTTTTGCATTTTTAGTAGAGATGGGGTTTCACTGTTTTAGCCAGGATGGTCTCGATCTCCTGACCTTGTGATCAGGCCACCTTAGCCTCCCAAAGTGCTAAGATTACAGGCATGAGCCATGATGCCTGGCCCTTTTTTTTTTTTTATTTTTATTTTTAGTAGAGATGGGGTTTCACCATGTTGGCCAGGCTGGCCTTGAACTCCTGACCTCTTGATCTACCCACCTCAGCCTCCCAAGTAGCTGGGATTACAGGCGTGAGCCACCATGTCTGGCCTAGAAATAGGTTTTATAGAAGGGAAGGAAGGAAGTGGATTGGTTGGATAGAGAAAGGAAAAATTGGCACTTTTGCTATATGGTGCATGTCCCAATCCTTTCTTTGAATAGTCCCCTGATCCAAGTCAGTTTTCTTAAGATATAATTAGATTTTTGGGCTGGGTGCAGTGACTCATGCCAATAATCCCAGCACTTTGAGAGGTTGAGGCCGTGGATCACCTGAGGTCAGGAGTTCGAGACCAGCCTGGCCAACATGGTGAAACCCTATCTCTACTAAAAATACAAAAATCAGCCAGTAAAAAAAAATAAAATAAGAAAAATAAATAAAAAATTTTTAAAAATTAGCTAGGTGTTGGTGGCAGGTGCCTGTAATCCCAGCTACTGAGGAGGCTGAGACAGGAGAGTTGCTTGAACCCGGGAGGCAGAGGTTGCAGTGAGCTGAGATTGTGCCATTGTTCTCCAGCCTGGGCAACAAGAGCTAAACTCCGTCTCAAAAAAATAATAATTAGATTTTTGGCTTCAAGACCCTGATGATGATCTACAAAAATAAACTGAGTATAGTTCTGGCATATTTTGGAAGTCATAAAATCCCACAGTTGACACTGATGTGGAAAATCAAAATGATCACCCTGGGTGTTGTATGGAGGTGAAGAGGAGGGGACATGTTACATGAATGTCCATGTGACTCCGTGTAGCAACTGGAGTGAAGAGAAAGAAAAATAGCATGATCACCTAAGGCAATTTATATATAAACTCCCATTTTTCAGTCCTTAGGTCAGTGAAGCCCCAGTTTCACTGACCTCTTTGCTTTTCCCAGTTTACACAAGGCATGTCCCTACCTCAAGGCCTTTGTATGTTCTCCTTCCAGAATATCCACATGGCTGACTCCTTGACTTCCCTCAAATCTTTGCTCAAATCTCAACCTCCTACTGAAATCTATCCTGACCATCTTGTAAAAATTGCTTCTCCCTGACTGCCCGGCTTTCCATCTCCTTTCCCCTTGTTATTTTTTTTTCTCCATAGTACTCTTCAACTTGTAACAGACTATATAATTTGCTTAGTTTACTTTTGCTTATTATCTGTTTCCTATGAGGGCTGGATTCTTTTTTTTTTCTTTTTTTTTTTTTGGTCTGGAGAAGAAACTTTTCTGTATCTCAAATACTTTTGGCTGTTTTTATATTCCGTTCTTGGACCACATGCAAGGGGACTTCAAAAAGCTCATGGAAAAATGGGATTAAGGCCAGGTGCAGTGATTCACACCTGTAATCCCAGCACTTTAGGAGGCTGAGGCAGGAAGACACTTGAGCCCCGGAGATCAAGACCAGTTTGGGCAACATAGGGAGACCCCATCTCTACAAGCAATTAAAAAAATTTAAACGTGGTGCCACATGCCTGTGGTCCCATCTACTCAGGAGGCTGATGTGGGAGGATCCCTTAAGGAGTATGAGACCAGCCTGGGCAACATAATGAGACCTTGTCTCTAAAAAAAGAAAAAAAATCAGCACAGAAGGTGGTTATATGTGTTGGGGTGTTTATTGCAGCATTGTTTGCAGAAGAGAAAGACAATCTACATGCCCATTATTAGAGGAATTGTTGGATGAATGATTTTATGTGGAATATTATGTAGCAACCAAAATGGGTTAGAACTATATGAAAGCAGAAAGATGTCTGTGAAAGTGTGAAAAGCAGTGTGTACAGAAACATATGATCCCATTTTTTAAAACCCTGCCACCTCAACAACGCCCCTTGCCATATATGTGTGTATATATTTGGATGTGTATTGATGAGCATAGGGAAAAGTATGAAGAAATACATTAGGATTAAACATTATTTACAGTCTGAGGGAGTAGAGAGTAAGCACATAAGACTCTCATAAAGGAAAAAAATATGACATAATGCTGAGAAAAAAAGTATAGAATGTAAAATACTAGCTATGCAATTACTGCAAATATGTAAAAATGGAATATGTATATAGGCAAGAATTAAATCATTGTTTTGGCAAGATAATGGGAATACAGGAAACTTTTTACTTTGGATTTCTATTATGTTAATATTTTTTGTTGCAATAAAATAACATTTAAAAACTTAGAGTTTAACATCCAGGAATGAAGTCACATCAGCAGAAATGTTCCTTTTTTTGTGCCACTTTCAACTCATGTTATTTTGTCTTGTTTATGTACTTTTGTTAATGCCCTGGAATTTTATCTAGGTCAAAGAGGGATATAAATAAGTAAATAAAAATAACCTAACTCTTGTCAGTCTCATCTTTTAGTCTGTCCTGTACACTGCCATCATTTTAATACTCACAGTTTTATCATGTAAAATGAGGATAATAATAATACTTGCTTCATAGGGTTGTGAATAGGTGAAATTAGTTAATACATATGAAGCACTAAGAATGGTGCCTGGCATATAGTATATACTCACTAAAGCCTTTATAATGCTCAGGAATTTGTAATGGCACTTCTGCAGGATAAAATTCAAATGCAACAGCTTCCATAATCTAGTTGTAAAAGCAGTCTAAATAGAAATGCCATTTATAATAATACATGTAGCTGGTGAGCTTTTGAAATGTAGCCAATCCAAGTTGAGACATGTAAGTGTAAATACCCACCAAATTTCAAACTACAAAATTAAAGATGTAAAATATCTCGATGACATACTTACATTGATTACACATTGCAGTGATGATAATTTGGATACTTGAGTTAAATAAAATGTATTATTATTTTTTGAGACAGGGTCTCACTGTCACCCAGGTTGGCATGCAGTGTACCTAATCTTGGCTCACTGCAGCCTTTGCCTCACTCCCATCCCCACCTCCGGCGTCAAGTGATCCTCCCGCCTCAGCCTCCTGTGTAGCTAAGACTAAAGGCGTGTGCCAACAAGCCCAGCTCATTTTTATATATTTTTTTGTAGAAATGGGATTTCACCATGTTGCCCAGTCTGATCTTGAACTCCCGAGCTCAAGCAATTTGCTTACCTTGGCCTCACAAAGTGCTGGGACTACAGGTGTGAGCCACCCTACCCACCCAATAAAATGTATTGTTAAAATTAATTTCTGCCAGGTGCGGTGGCTCACGCCTGTAATCCCAACACTTTGGGAGGCCAAGGCTGGAGGATGACTTGAGACCAGCCTGGTCAACACAGTAAGACCTCATCTCTACGAAGAATTTAAATATCAGCTGAGTCTGGTGGCAGGCACCTGCCTTCCTAGCTACTTGGGAGGCAGAGGCAGGAGGATCTCCTGAGCCCAGGACTTCGAGGCTGCAATGAGCTATGATCGCACCATTATACTTAAGAGAGTGAGACCCTGTCTTAAAAAAAAATAGTTTCACCTATGTTTGCCTTTTTATTTTGCTTTTAGAAAATTTAAGATTCCATATGTGACTCACGTTATATTTCTATTGGATAGTACCACTTGAGATTTTTAAAATAATTGTTATATTCTTTACCTTAATCTCTGCCCTGTTGGTTTTTTAGACTCAAGTACAATATACTTACATTTATTTCTATCAACTTTTTTTTTTTTTTTTGAGATGGAGTCTCACTCTGTTGCCCAGGCTGGAGTGCAGTGGTATGATCTCTGCTCACTGCAAACTCTGCCTCCCAGGTTCAAGTGATTCTCCTGCCTCAGTTTCCTGAGTAACTGGGACAAAAGGTGTTCTGACCTCGTGATCCACCCGCCTCAGCCTCCCAAAGTGCTGGTATTACAGGCATGAGCCACCGCGCCAAGCTATTAACTTCTATTTAATAAAACTCATTATTCTGAAGTATTTAGATCTTAAGTCTGTCATTCCTCACAACTTCAGTACATTGTTGAATGAATATTCAACAAATAGTGCCTATTCTGAGCACTGCTTTAGGTACTGGAGATATCGGATCTCCAGATATCCAAAACAATCTTCTGTAAAAATTTAGATAATAGGCTGGGTGTGGTGGCTCATGCCTGTAATCCCAGCACTTTGGGAGGCCAAGGCAGTTGGATCACGTGAGGTCAGGAGTTTGAGACCAGCCTGGCCAACATGGTAAAACCTTTACTAAAAATACAAAAATTAGCCAGGCGTGGTGGCAGGTGCCTGTAGTTCCAGCTACTCAGGAGGCTGACACAGTAGAATTGCTTGAACCTGGGAGGAGGGGGTTGCAGTGAGTTGAGATTACACCACTGCACTCCAGCCTGGGCAACAGAGTGAGACTCTGCCTCAAACAAAAAAATAATATCCAAAATGTTATCCTTGCAACATACAATCAATATAAATATGGCATTGAGATATTTTACATCCCTATTTTTATACTTTGAAGTTCAGTGGATATTTACACTTACAACATGTCTCAACTTAGATTGGCCACATTTCAAAAGCTCGACAACTGCAGGTATTATTATAAATAGCATTTTATTTAGAATGCTTGTTACCTACCCTCAAGGAAGTTATAGTATATTGGGAGAATCAGAGAACAAAAATATAACCAAGATACTTGGAAATTTGATGAATGTTACATTTCAGAGATGATATTTGAGCTGACATTTGAAGGATGAGAAGGAGCCCATTGTGATTATCTAGGGAAAAGTACTCAAGACAGAGGAAACAACTATTGCAAATGATGAGAAGTGCAAAAATGCTTGACATGTTGGAGGGATACACAGTGGTAGGCAGACTCTAAGATGGCCTCCAGTGATTCCACCTCTGGATATTCGTGTTTTTGTATAATCCCTTGGTAAGATCTATGACCCAAAGAACATGAGAAAGGCAATGGGATCTCGCTTAAGTGATTTGGTTACATAAGATTGTAACTTCCTTCTTTCTAGGAGGACATCTTGCAGAAGTCCACATGGCAAGGAACTGACTGAAGCCTTTGGGTAACAGCTAGGAACTGAGGCCCTAAGTCTAATAGCCCTCATAGAACTGAATTACAGCAATGACATCTGCTTGGGACCAAATTCTTCCCTATTTGAACCTTCAAATGAGAGATACTCTACATGTGGCCAGTATCTTGATTATAGCCTTTTGAGAGACCCTGAAGCAGAGGATCCAGTTAAGCCATGCTGTGAACTTCTGACCCACAGAAACTGTGAGATAATAAATGTGTATTTTAAGCCACCAAATTTGTAGAAAATTGTTATGCAACTAGATAAGCAATATTTGATAAATATGCCCACTATGTTTTATTTCAAGTCATTGATGGAAGTGTTTTACAGAACAGTGCCAAGTCAGAATGCTTGTTCATCTCAATAGAAGTCATTGTTAAGTTAATACTGATCAATTATTTAGCATTCCCTTAGGTTTATTTGTGCAGTAAATGACCTTAATTATGCTTCCACTTGGTTTTTATATTTTATTCTTTTTTCTTTTTTTTTTTTTAAGAGGCAGGGTCTCATTCTGTAGTGTGATCATAGCTCTTTGTAACCTCAAAGTGAAGTTATCCTCCCGCCTCAGCCTCCCGTGTTGCTAGGACTACAGGCATGTGCCACCATACGTGGGTAATTTTTTACTTTATTTTTTTGTAGAGACAGGATCTGGCTGTGTTGCCTAGGCTAGAGTGCCGTGGTATGATGGTAACTCACTGAAACCTCGGACTCCTGGGCTCAAGTGATCCTCCCACCTCAGTCTCCTGAGTAGCTATGATTACAGGCATGGGTCATCGCATCCAGCCTATATTTTCTTGTTTTTTTGAAACAGAGTCTTGCTCTGTCTCTAGGCTGGAGTGCAGTGGTGCAATCTTGACTCACTGCAACCTCCACCTCCCGGGTTCAAGTGATTCTCCTGCCTCAACCTCTCGAGTAGCTGGGACTACAGGCATGTGCCACCATGCCCAACTGATTTTTCTATTTTTAGTAGAGGCGAGGTTTCACCATGTTGGCCAGGCTGATCTTGAACTCCTGACCTCAGATGATCCACTTGCCTCAGCCTCCCAAAGTGCTGGGATTACAGGTATGAGCCACCGCACCTGGCCTATTTTCTAATTTTTATAGCGTGAAATTTCTCACCAAATGCTTTGTCAGAATTTCAGATATATGTTTAGTAATTCTATCTAAAAAGAGAATGAGTTAGTCTGGCTTTTTGTTGTTATTTTTTTGAGGCAGGTTCTTACTCTTTTGCCCAGACTGAAGTGCAGGGGTACAATCATGGTTCACTGCAGCCTCAAACTTCTGGGCTCAAGCAGTTCTCCCATCTCAGCCTCCATAGTTGCTGGGACTATAGGTGTGCACCACCATGCCTGACTAATTTTTGTATTTTTTGTAGAGATGGGGTTTTGTCATATTGTATGGGCTGATCTTGACCTCTAGGGCTCAAGTAATCCTTCCTGCCTTGGCCTCCCAAAATGTTGAGATTACAGGTATGAGGCACTGTACCCAGCCTTTTTTTTTTTTTTTTTTCAAGTAAACCCATGCTGACTTAGCAGTTACTTTTTGTTCTAATTGTTTGCAAACACAACTTTTGGACAGTTGATCTATTTGGGATCAATACTAAGATCCTTGATGTACGGTTTCGTTTGCAGATTTCACCATCTTTTCACCTTTATTTTAGCTATCACCAGATTTCTAGCAAGTTTCTTTCTCATTTTCACATGAACTCTCAGATTTCTCTCAAATGGTTTATTGGGTTAACTGGCAAGTTTTATCAAAATTCTGGAGTGTAATTTGTTCAGGCCAGAAGTGATGGATTTATTTAGAGGAGCGGTGGATTTATTTAGAGTAGTCAGGTGCTCTCTTACAATCTTATCTTCAGTTCCCTCTTACAATGTTTGTTTTATACTTTATATTCTAAATATTATCCTTTTTAGTGGGAAAGACAAACATATCCATTATTAATTACACCATGAATTCTAGAACTCTGGGCATTTCTTGTTTTTCTTTTTTATAAAATTTTATTATCGGCAAAAATATTACTAAGTTTCAATTTTAAAGCACTTTATAGTTTTTTTTTTTTTTTTTTTTTTTTTTTTTTTTTTAAATGGGGTTCACTCTGTCACCCAGACTGGAATGCGAGTGCAGTGGTGCAAACACAGCTCACTGCAGTCTGGACTTCTCAGCCTCAAGAGATCCTCCTGCCTCAGCCTGCTGAGTAGTTGGGACCATAGGCATGCAAGGAGGTTTTTGCTAAAAAGAGGTAAAGGAAAACTGAAAATAAATATCACCTACTTCATCATTTGAGCTTGGGTTATCCTTTATAGAAAAGGAAGATGGCTCCCCTCCCTGTGTCCATGTGTTCTCATACCTATGCAACAATCTTGCATGTTCTTCACATGTACCCCAAAACCTAAAATGCAATAAAATAAATAAATGGGAAAAAAAAAAAAAGAAAAAGAAAAGGAAGATGGCAAGATCATGTTTCCAAAGATACTTCAAAGGGGCAAAGTGCTGAATATACAGCAAGCAGGGGATTAATTTCAATAGAAAAACTGCAAAGTAAATTCCCGAATGTTGGTAGATGGTATATACATTTTAGAAGAGAACACCAAAGAGAAAAGTTATTCATCATTAATTATCCTATCAAGAGCAGCAGACTAATTTGGCATGGCTGTTTTCTGAACAACTTGAGATTTGTTCTTGACTAAAACAACAGTCCTTTGTCTAAAAGCATTTTCTTATCACTTGGTGAAACTGTCAGTAGTCTCCTCATCTTTATTAGGTAAGATGTATGAGTAGAGGCCTTAAAACACTTCTTAAAACCTTATGCTGGGGATTTCTGATCCAGAAATTTCCTGGTATTTTTATTTATTTGTTTACCTAACAATTTAAGTGAAGTGATTAAAACTTAACATCTATTTAACAATGTCTGGACTTCGACTACAGACTATAATCCTTTTGTTTGTTTGGTTTGGTTTCCATTTTTATTTTTATTTGTTTATTTTGAGATGGAGTCTCACTCTGTTGTCCAGGCTGGAGTGCAGTGTTGTAATCTCAGGTCACTGCAACTTCCGCCTCCTGAGTTCAAGCGATTCTCATGCCTCAGCCTCCCAACTAGCTGGGATTACAGGTGCATGCCACCCACCTGGCTAATATTTGTATTTTTAGTAGAGACAAAGTTTTGCCATGTTGGCCAGGCTGGTCTCAAACTCCTGACCTCAAGTGATCTGCCCGCCTTGGCCTCCCAAAGTGCTGGGATTACAGGCGTAGGCCAGCACACCCAGCCATGTTTTATTTTGTGTTAGAGATAGTGTTTCGCTATGCTGTCCAGATTGGAGTGCAATGACTATTCACAGGAATAGTCATAGCACACTGCAGCCTCAAGAGACCCTTCGGCCTCCCCCTCCCAAGTAACTGAGACCACAGGTGCATGACATTACACTCAGCTGTAGTTTGTTTTGTTTTGGACTGTAATTTTAACTTGATATGAATAAATTAGTCGTATATTTAAATTAGCCATGCAAGTGATTTAACTTGTTATCAATAAGGATTTATAGACTATATGAAAGTATGGCTAGATTAAAGATAAATGGTTACATAAATGAATGATCTTCCTTCTGCTCTCCCTTTTCCTCCAGTCTTTGTCCAAATTTTATCAGTTCTTCCAAATCCTCTTTGAATGCTACTTTGTATAGGCATATTCTTGCTGTGTGCAGCTCATTTGAGTTTTTGGTATTCAGGCCATTTTTCCTACTATATTATAAGCTGTTAGAAGGCTGGGTCTGTATCTTATTTCTCTTTATATCTTCCATAACATATTGCTTTACACAAAGTTGATATTTAAACATTAATGTATTAATGAATAATTTATGATGAAGATTAATAACCTCAGCTTTTCACTTTATTAATTGAGTGAATATGCAATCTCTCTTTTCTATCACAGGCTTCTGTCTCTAAACAAGGGCAAATTTTAGGGACACCTCTTTTCTGTCCCTTTTATTTCTCCCCCACCCCTTTTTTGGTTCCATTTCTCTATTAAAGCTTTATTTATCTTTTTACTATAACTCATTCTTTTATTCTCAATCCTGCCCCTTCTGTATTTGTCTGCTTTTTATTACTCCTGCCTCTTGCCTCTTTTAATTCTTAATGCCACTTAAAACTTGTTTCCCTGTCACCTGGTCTTTCTGTTTTTGTTCTTTCTGCTTGACTTTCTCCTCCATTCGTCACCACCCCTCTCCTTGCCCTCAAGGTACAGAGCAGGATTAGGTATAGGAGGAGCCCAGCTGGGGTAGGGGTGGAGCCACCTGTTCACTGCTTCAGGATTCAGAAGCTGACTGGGAAGGAACGGCTGCTCAAGGGTAGCTAGAACTGAAGTCCCTATGGCCTTTCTGCTAGAGGCTAGCATTCTGGAGGACAGTTGGGACTTGGTAAGATCAGAAAGCTCTCCCTCTCTTCCTTTGTGCTCTCCCTTTCTTCTTCCGTGTTCTGCATTTTTCACTCATGATCTCTCCATACTGCTAACTTTTCTTCCGTTTCTCTGTTTTACTATTCTGTCTTTCCTCTTTCTACCTATCAGTGAACTCTAGTGTTTGTCTTTTCTGTAACCTATTATTTCCACACATCTCTGTATTCTCTCTCAACATTTAACTTTTCCTACCTCTTCTCCATTTTATTCTTTTATTAGTTTTCTCACCCAGTTTTTTTCTTTTTTTTTCCTTAAACTCCTGGCCTCAGGTCATCTTCTTACTTCAGCCTTCCTAAGTGTTGGCATTACAGGCATGAGCCACAGTGCCTGGCTAGCTTCCTTTTTCATTTAGTCATTTTCAATCCACTGCTCTATTTTTTGAAATAATCATACTATTTCCCAGAGAAATAGAAATAAGAGAGGAAAAAAGGGATCACCCTGTCTTTCCAGGGACCTGTTCAGCCTTTTCACTTATTTTCAGGCTTGTAGTATGTTTTGAGATTAGGCTTTGAAGAAAAATTTATGCTGTACAGATAGTAAACAGTGAACTTAGAGTTAGGTTGAATATTCAATGTAAAAGGTTTAATTTTATTCTCTTTTCCTTGTTTTACTTAGATTTTACCTGCAATACAGTGGATACAATTTGTCATGGCTACTCTGAGGTATGTTTGTTTAATTGCATATAACTAAACCAATATAAGCAAAATTCAACAATTCTGTTGTTTTCCACATTTTTCCCTCAGGGATTTGCTTTTACTCTTTAGTCAAAGAGAAATGATATTCTTTATCATGTTGATATTTTCTTACTAATAAAAAGACAATATTAACAATAGCAACAAAAAATTGATTAAAGGATAACATCTGAAAATCAGTGGACAACCTGATTAACAGGATCAATTGCAAAAATCAATAGCAAAGTGCTTACTTAAGCAGCACATATTCTAAAAATTAGAATGATATAGAGAATATTGGTAGGGCTGAGCTCACACCTGTAATCCTAACACTTTGGGAGGCTGAGGTGGGCAGATCACTTGAGCTCAGGAATTTGAGACCATCCTGGACAACATGGTGAAACCCTGTCCCTCCAAAAAAACAAAACAAAACAAAACAAAAAAAGTAGCTGGACGTGGTAGCATGTTTCTGTAGTTCCAGCTACCCAGGAGGAACCATAATTGTGCCCCTGTACTCCAGCCTGGTTGACAGAGTGAGAGCCTGTCTCAAAAAAAAAAAAAAAAAAAAGATTGACATGGCGTTGCATAAGGAGAACATGCAGATTTGTGAAGCATTCTATATTTGTTTAAAAATATTGGCTGGATGTGGTGGCCCATGCCTGTAATCCCAGCACTTTGGGAGGCTGAGGCAAGAGGATGGCCTGAGCCCAGGAGTTTGAGACCAGCCTGGGCAACATAGCGAGATCCTGTCTGTACAAAAAAATTTTTTAAATTAGCAGGGCATGGTAGCACACACCTGTAGTTCCAGCTACTCAGGGGGCTTATGCAGGAGGATCACTTTAGCCCAGGAGTTGGCGGCTGCAGTAAGCTGTGATTGTACCACTGCACTCTAGCCTGGAGTGACAGAAGGGGACCCTATCTCTAAATAATATAATTAAAAATAAAAAAATAAAAAAAATATGTGCAGGGCTGGGCATGGTGGCTCACACTTGTAATCTCAGTGCTTGAGAGGCCAAGGTGAGAGGATCACATGAGGTCAGGAGTTTGAGACCAGCCTGGGCAACATAGCAAGACCCTGCCTCTACAAAAAATAAAATAATTAGCCAGATGTGGTGATGTACACCTGTAGTCCTAGCTACTCAGGAGGCTGAGACAGGAGGATCACTGGGGCTCAGTAGTTCAAGGTTACATTGAACTATAATGGCACCATTGCACTCTAGCCTGGCTGACATAGCAGGACCCTGAGTATAAAAAAAAATTTAATGCAGTTCATTTTATATCAATTATGCCAATAAAACTGTAAAAATAACAAAATGACAAAAATGATGGTACTTCATTGTCCCGCCTTAATGATCAATCATCTTCTAAATCTCTCAGTGTTATAGGTTCAAGTTCACTTATTGCCTATGCAGTATTCCAGAATGTACAGAAATCTCCAGAGGTGAGTAATCTCTCTTTGTGTTGGATTTTAACTTTTTAGTGACTTAGTCTCTGAAACAAATTACAGATATTGCCTGTAAATGGTGAAATAATTCTATAAATTACTTTTAAATTTGTCATGATGATACATTGAGATATTTTAGGCATGGTCAATAGAGCAGGGTTTTTTAAAAGTCCATACTTTTAACTGTAATTGGTCTCCAAATTAAATAAATTTTTAATATTTACTGTATTCTAGATACATTTGCCCAGTGCTTTCAATGTATTTTTCATTTAATCCTTAAAAAACTTTGAGACGGATGTTATTAGTCTGATATTATAGGTAAGGAAATTGAATACTGGTAAGGTTGAATACTTAAAGCTAGCAAGTGTTAGAGCTGGAATTTGAATGCAGACTTGTCTTTTTCCAGAATCACCCCCTTACACTTTTAAACCACCAAAATATACTGTCGAATGAAAATGGATTTTGAAGTTTCAGAGGTAGATTGTGACTATGTAAGTCGAACTAGAAAGAAGTTTTGATGCTGTATTGTCATTGCCTGCCAAATTAATTTTAAGTCAAACATCTTGAGATTCAAATTTTCCTAATGTTTATTTCCTTTGCTGGAATTTGAGTTCTGATGTGATTAAGTTAATCAAGTATGAGTTACACAATAGAGCTAAGCTTTATCTCTGAAAGCAGGGTTTGTCAGCCTCAGCATTATTGTGATGTGGGACTAATTATTTGCTGTCCTGTACATTAGGAAGTTTGGCAGCCTTTACCAGCTAGATACTAGTAGCAAAACCTCCTTTCTTCAGTTGTGACAACCAAAAATTTCTTCAAACAATGCCAAGTGGTCCAGATGTAGTGGCAGGTGCCTATAATTCTAGCTACCCAGGAGACTGAGGTGGGAGGATTGCTTGAGCACAGGAGTTCAAGGGTGCAGCGAGCTATGATCATATCACTGCACTCCAGCCTGGGTGACAGAGCAAGACCTTATCTCTTAAAAAAAAAATACTGAATGTCCCTGTGAGGGTGGGATCAGGATGAAATTGTTCTTGTTTGAAAACTAATGTCCAAGGTGATGTTCTGGCATAACAGTGGGTTAGAACTTTATAAAGATATAAGGTGTAAGGTCTAATTTGGCTTAGAACGTAACTTAAAAAAAATTATAATTAAAACAAAATAAAGATTCTCTTGGGTAGGGAGAGCTCTTGGTTTATTCTCCCCCATGGTTTAAATTAAAGACAAATGCAGGCTCATGCCTGTAATCCCAGCACTTTGGGAGGCCGAGGTGAGTGGATTGCCGGAGCTCAGGAGTTCATGACCAGCCTGGGCAACATGGTGAAACCCCATTTCTAAAAAAAATTAAAAATAAAAAAATAAAAAAGACAAATGCAGAGGAAAGTGCCAGCAATGGCAGCGCCAAGTCCCTTGTGGCAGCAGAGAGGAATCAGTTGGACCTCAGGGAAGCTTTAATGGTCATGGCCTTTACTCTGTAACTGCTGGAAGCAGCCCTGCCCTGTATCAGTCAGCGCCATTGCCATGCTGCACAAGGAGAGTTCCTCAAGAACATAGGCTAGAGAACAGACCAGGGAATTGGTGTATTCGGGGAGGAGCCAGGAATTAAATCTCAGCTAATGAACCGTATTTGATCTGTAACAACTGTGATGAGAATGCCATTAATAATGGTAAACTCCATTGTAATTGTGTTACTTTTATTATTTGGATGAATATCTGTGGAGGAAATGGAGACTCAGAAGACATGCCAGCAGAAGTTATTATTTGGGTCATTATTGGAGAAAAGGCTGAGGTGGGAGGATCACTTGAGCCTGGGAGGTTGAAACTGCAGTAAACTGAGATGGGACTCCTGCACTCCAGTCTGGGTGACAAAGTGAGACCCTATCTCAAAAAGAAAAAAAAAGAAAAAAGAAAAAAAAAATCAGATAATGAGAGGCAGTAACTCTGCAGGACTGGATTATTTGCTCACTGTTGATAGTGATTCATGCATTGTGAGATTGTTAAAAGAGTACATAAGACTGTTCTTTCTTTTTTTTTTTTTTTTGAGACGGAGTTTCCCTCTTGTTACCCAGGCTGGAGTGCAATGGCGCGATCTCGGCTCACGGCAACCTCCGCCTCCTGGGTTCAGGCAATTCTCCTGCCTCAACCTCCTTAGCAGCTGGGATTACAGGCATGCGCCACCATGCCCAGCTAATTTTTTGTAGTTTTAGTAGAGACGGGGTTTCACCGTGTTGACCAGGATGGTCTCGATCTCTTGACCTCGTGATCCACCCGCCTCGGCCTCCCAAAGTGCTGGGATTACAGGCGTGAGCCACCGC